GAATTTAATGTTAATAAATGTCATGTTATGGAATGTGGAATAGGAGAACATAGACCCCACACAACCTATATATTATGTGAGAAATCTTTAAAGAATTCTGATAAAGAAAGAGATCTAGGAGTGGTTCTAGATAGAAAACTATCACCTGAGGACCACATAAAGAATATTGTGCAAGGAGCCTATGCTATGCTTTCTAACTTCAGAATTGCATTTAAATACATGGATGGCGATATACTAAAGAAATTGTTCATGACTTTTGTTAGGCCAAAGCTAGAATATGCAGCTGTTGTGTGGTGCCCATATCTTAAGAAGCACATCAACAAACTGGAAAAGGTGCAAAGACATGCTACTAAGTGGCTCCCAGAACTGAAGGGCAAGAGCTACGAGGAGAGGTTAGAAGCATTAAATATGCCAAAACTAGAAGACAGAAGAAAAAGAGGTGATATGATCACTACATACAAAATAGTAACAGGAATTGATAAAATCGACAGGGAAGACTTCCCGAGACCTGGAATTTCAAGAACAAGAGGTCATAGATTTAAACTAGCTAAACACAGATGCCGAAGAAATATAAGAAAATTCACCTTCGCAAATAGAGTGGTAGACGGTTGGAACAAGTTAAGTGAGAAGGTGGTGGAGGCCAAGACCGTCAGTAGTTTCAAAGCGTTATATGACAAAGAGTGCTGGGAAGACGGGACACCACGAGCGTAGCTCTCATCCTGTAACTACACTTAGGTAATTACACTTAGGTAATTACTCTGTTGTGCTCACATATTTTAATAGAGTATCCTTCTGTTTCTTGATGTCACTTACTGTACTTTTCCCGATGTTAAACTCTGCTGCTGCTCGTGCATGAGAATATCCTTTATCAAGTTTCTTAATTAACTCCAGCTTCTGTGCAACCGTCAGGCGCTTCCTTTGGGTAACTTTTGGCATTTTGTAAATTAAAATGATCACAATTACAGTACAGTAATATCCTTCACAACTGAAGCTAGCCGCGCGAGTTCACGGTAAACAATGGGAACACATGGCCCGGCGGAGTACATACTAGGTCCGTGGGAAAAAAAATACCTAGTGCCTATACATACTATAAAAGGTATTTAATAAGAAAACAAAGACTTTTGCTTAATAAAAACTGTTTCAAAATATTTTATTAATAATAATTTACAATTTTCTTCATTAAAGTGAATCATTTTAAAAGAAAATTAAGATGTAATATATGACTCTGGATGATCCAGGTCGGTGGCGGCCTGGTCGCCATGTGAGGGGACGCTGATGCCACAACAAACCCAATACCGACTATCGGTAATATCGACCGCAGACCGGTATAGCAGGCTCCAGATACTGGGCTCCCAAACCGGTCGTTAATACCGGCAGATCGGTATAAAAGAGGCCGTTAAATTGAGTGGATACTGTACACTAAGTGCCAATTATTGGCCTGGAGGTCCAGGGCCACCATCCAGGCACCCGGCCCCAACAGAAGCCGGACAGGAGACAACAGTCCTCCAATGAGGGCATGGAATCCAGGACGCAGACTGAAGAAGTACAGAAAAACCGCAGATTCGCCAGGCCCATGTCTGCATAGAGCAGACGGGCACCCCAGAAGTATGGGGCGGATCGACCACGTCCAAAGCACCCACAAAGATGACATGACGAAGCGCAGGGGAAGAAGCCCGCCCCGCCAGCCCTGAACCCCCCAAAAGGGGGAGAAGCAGTCCGCCGCACCACCAGAGGCCGGAAGACAACCAAAAGCGCCCACTAACTGCGGGACCATGCGAGAGTCAACAGAGCAAGCTGCTCCCCCAGTGCCCCATCAACAACGAAGGGAAAAGAGCCCCTTCCGAAAGAAAAAGTATATATACATACATATATACATATATATTATGTACATATACACATACATACATATACACATACATATATAAATACACGCACACACAAGGTGTATTACACACACCTTGAGGGAATTGAGGGGATCTTGGAGTATCATCACACTGAAGAGTCACACTGCTGCAGGCTCCAGGATAATTCAAATTATCTAAGTGTCAGGAGTAGGTTGAGGGTTGCAAGTGGTGTCCCTGGATACATGAAGGTGTAGGGAATTTGAAAATATAATAAGAGATAAGAAGTAAGTGTCAGTGAATGAAAAATCTTGGGTAGAAAAGTTGATATTTCAAAACAGCAGAAGGTAAACAAAAATGGCCGCCACCAAAGGGGAGGACAGTACCCCAGCAAAGGGATCTTTTGCAGGTTTCTCACAAGATGCAATGAAAGGTGGTTTTCTTGGTAGGTTAGTGATCATTGAGGACTTGCTAAAGAATTATGAAGAAAAAGTTATTAAATTGGAACAAGAAAATGAAGGTCTCAAGATAGTGTTTTGTAATTTAAAAGGAAGTATTTTTCACCAGGGTAAGGAGATTTCCAGCTTGACTGATAAGGTAAGGATGCAGGAGGAACACCTTGCACCTAGGGAGCCAGTCGGCCGAGCGGACAGCACACTGGACTTGTGATCCTGTGGTCCCGGGTTCGATCCCGGGCGCCGGCGAGAAACAATGGGCAGAGTTTCTTTCACCCTATGCCCCTGTTATCTAGCAGTAAAATGGGTACCTGGGTGTTAGTCAGCTGTCACAGGCTGCTTCCTGAGGGTGGAGGCCTGGTCGAGGACCAGGCCGCGGGGACACTAAAAGCCCCGAAATCATCTCAAGATAGCATCGCCTAATAATATCAAAATATATATATAACTTGTATTATTTAGCCATGATAATATTATAAAAGAGCTGAGTGTGATAATGACTGGGTACAATGTTCAAATATCAGTGATTCAATGCTGTTCACGATGTTCACACCCCTGGCCACAGCACCACAGCATTATTTCGTCCATCTAGGAATCTTCAAATGACTTCTTAGGTTCCTTTTCAAAATAAACGTGTGGTCAATTATTCATTTACAGGAATTAGTGACCAGGATTGTGATAATAGCAGGATTGTGGTTATAATTAGCATTGTGCGTAGTATTGTGGAAGGAGGAATTTTGGTGAGGGAGGGAGGGCGAGAATCGAGGTAGCCTCATTGTGTGTGTGTGTGGCAGCCACTCTTGTTTTGCTCACCATACTAGCTTAGTGGTTCGCTATGGGCAACACACATGTACATGGGTATATACAATGTGTGTAAATAGTGTAAGAACAGCAACAGGAGAATGTTGAGAGGAGCTATTTTGGTGAGGGAGGTGGTGATGTAATCATTTTACAGCTTCCTCAGGGCTCTTGTAAACAGACCCCATCTTTAACAAAAATTGTGAGCCACATTCCCAGGTATGAGAGCCTCAGTACTGAGTGAGCAACCAAGGCCAGCGCACGCAGCATGAGCTCAGCATTATTTCGTCCATCTAGGAATCTTCAAACGACTTCTTAGGTTCCTTTACAAAATAAACTTGTGGTCAATTATTCATTTACAGAAATTAGTGACCCAGGATTGTGATAATAGCAGGATTATGGCGATAATTAGCGCTGTACATAGTATTGTGGGAGGAGGAATTTTAGTGAGGGAGAGAATCGGGGTAGCCTCACTGTGTGTGGGGCAGCCACTCTTGTTTTGCCCACCATAATGGCTTAGTGGTTCGCTATGGTGAACACACATGACCATAGGTATATACAATGTGTGTATATAGTGTAATAACGGCAACAGGAGTATGTTGAGAGGAGCTATTTTGGTGAGGGAGGTGATACGACGCTACGACATAATCGTAGCGTCGTTTGCTGTCTGCTGTGTGATTTCTCATGCAGTGTATGGTGGCCACTGTTTGGACACAATACTGGCTTACTTGCATAGTTCTGGTGCATAAAACATGTAGATAGGTATACATAACATATGTAAATAGTGTAATAAAAACAATAACAGTATGGTGGGAGGAGGGGTGATGGCGAGTATGATGTTGGAGGAGTGAGGGAGGACTGGCTGGCTGGGTGTGGCAGTTCAAACTCACGAAGTTCTGAGTGTGTTTATGGTGTGTGTGTATATAGTATGTGATACTGTACAGTGTGTAAATAGATTGTATATATACATAAATTAACATGATACATTGGAAATATGTGCCGGATATGTATACACGTGTCATGCACGTAACACAATGTCTTCGGACAGTACGGATGTTCTACTGCCATAATATAGTGTACGTGTTCATTATACATAGGAGTGGCATGTAAAAGCAAATAAAATGTATTTGGAACTGTACGCAAAAAATGAACAAAAATATATTGGCAGCAGCGCGCGCATCCTGCCCTGGGCGTCCTACTGGCCACGGGCGAACAGGGAATGATGACGTCACGTGCCAGCTTACGGACCCCATAGCAGCCAAAGTAAGTACAATTTCGACTTTCAGTTACTATACCCATACTCAGGGAAGGGTTTTTGACACTTTCAAAACAAAAAATTATTTTTTCCACAGAATTTATTTCCTGCGCACTAGGGGTGTCATATTTGGAAGCCGAGCAGTTGAGGGGTTAAAAGCAATGAAAATGAACATCACATGCCATTCTGAGCCCATGATGAATACAATAAAAACTCTTGAAATTTTAAATTAATTTAGTTAATTTGAAATTGTGAAATTGTAAACTATTTTTAATATTTAATTTTTTATATCTTTCCTGTTCATGTTATGATATTAATCCATTAGGAAAAGTTGGAGCATTTACCATTATGCACACAAAATTTGAGTGTTTGTGGAAGGGTGATAAATTGCACTCCTGACCCCTTAAATGAAGACGCAGGGACCATGTGAATGGCTCTGCTTCACTAAACACAAATCAGTAACAACATACACATGCTTTTGCTCATTCTTATTAGCACGCTGCTTAGTACATGCATCAACTATGTTGCCTTTCGCTTTTAAATGACGAGTTAATTCTTCAATCATACATAATACATTACAGCCAGCCAGAGGTTTAGAGCTCGTGCAGGAATATCCCTGGAAAAAATATATATATATACTTCACACTATCTAACCTTGTGTATAAGGTTTACCAATGCGAGGAGAGTGCGGGACAGGACGGAGCAGACTGTTCAGGTTGAACGTCTCTGACGTCAAGGCAATCATGATGAAAACCAGCACAAATGCTGCACCGATGTAAGCAATTCCTCTTATTCGCATCATTGCAGTATCAGCCTCCCGAAGTAGATTCTCTTAAATATCTATACCTGAAATGTAAACAAAGTACTATATCAGAGTAATTTAAGCATGCCTATCTTCCTGTGAACTGATTCAATGAAAATCCAATACCAGACTTACTGTGACCTAAGCTACAGACTTTTATGCTAAAATAAACCTGCATACCTGGAGTGGGTTCTGGGAGTTGTTGTTCTCCCCGAGTCTGGCCACGACTTGTGATAACTTGTCCAACAGGCTGTTGCTTGGAGCGGCCAACAGGCCCACATATCCACTACAATCTGGTTGGTCTGGTACTACTTGCAAGAACTTAACTAAGTGCCTCTTGAATACATCCACCTTTGTTCCAGCAATATTTCTAATGCTTGTTGGGAGAGTGTTGAACAGGTGTGGACCTCTGATGTTCAGTGTTCTCCGATTGTGCTATGGCACCTCTATTCCTCACTGGTTCTATTCTGCATTTTTTTTCGTATCTTTTGTTCCAGTATGTTGTTATTCTACTGTACTGTGCCAATTTGGGACCTGGTTTTCAGGTATCTTCCTTGTATATCTTACTTGATACCTCATTTGTCTCCTTTCGAAGGAGTACATTTTAAGAGCTTTGAGACGGTCCCAATAATTTATTTATTTTTTTTTTTTTTTTTAAATATATACAAGAGTTGTTACATTCTTGTACAGCCACTAGTACTCGTAGCGTTTCGTGCAAGTCCATAATCCTATGGTCCCTGGAATATGACCCCCCATGAAGAATCGATTTTATAATAAAGTACCCATTTTACTGATGAGTTAAACAGAGGCTACAGTTAATAATTATCACTTTGGCTCAGTAATGACGCAGCATTGCGTGACTTTTTTACTCGGGGGAAGTCTGGTAATGACACAGCATTGCGTGATTTTCGGCGGCAAATTGGCGATGGTTTCGGGAGGGGCGCGCTGTGGTTTTGGACATTACAGTATATGCATACACACCTGTAGGGGATTTCATTGCGAATACAATGATACCAAAATGAAAGACCTAGGACCAGAATTGAGGTAACAAAGTTGAAAAGAGTATACTCATTTTATTCCTCTTTATTAGCGCTCACTGCGGTAACGCACTGTCACTTTCTCTGTTTGCTGTGGGTGGGACGCCGGGCTTTTGGACTTTATATTTGCATATACTCCTTTAGGGAATTCTATTGCAAACACAATGACACAAAAATGAAAGATTTAGGATGAAAATTGAGATGTCCAAAGTGAGAGAGTGTACACATTTTATTGCTCTTTCACGCTCCAGGGTAACACGCTCTCACTTTCTCCCTTTCTCCCCGAGCTTTTAGGCTTTATATGCATTTAGTCCTGTAGAGAATTCTATTGCGAACACATTGATACCAAATTGAAAAACCTAGGACGAGAATTGAGATGACAAAGTTGAAGAGAGTATACACATTACGGTATGACCGCGCGCTCTATTGTAATGAGAGGCGCCTTGGGGTGGTGCAGCGCTCTCTTTCAGGTAACTTTCATCTTGTCGGCGGGTGGAGCACGCCGCTGTTTTTGACATTATATGCATATATTCCTGTTGGGAATTCTATTCCGAACACATTGATACCAAAATGAAAGACCTAGGACGAGAATTGAGGTGACCAAAGTGAAAGGAGTGTACACATTTTATCGGTCTTGCTCGCTCCCGGGTAACACGCTCTCACTTTCTTTGTTTATTGTGGATGGTATGCTGGGCATTTGGACTTTATATGCCTTTAGTCCTGTAGAGAATTCTATTGCGATCACAATGATACCAAAATGAAAGACCTAGGACGAGAATTGAGGCGACCAAAGTAAAGGGAGTGTAATTTTATCGCTCTTGAGCCACGCTCCCGGGTAACACGCTCTTATTTTCTGTTTGTTGCGGATGGTACACCGACCGTTTGGACTTTATATGCCTTTAGTCCTGTAGAGAATTCTATTACGAACACAATGATACCAAATTGAAAAACCTAGGACGAGAATTGAGGTAACAAAGTTGAAAAGATTATACACTTTTCAGAATTACCGCTCGCTCCCGCGGAATGCCCAAGTCCACCTGGGGTAGTGTGACGCGTGTGCGCCCAGAGCATCAAAGTGTTAAGGATTTGCGCCTAGTAAATCCTCCCCGGCCAGGATACGAACCCATGACAAAGCAATCGTGGAACGCCAGGTGAGCGTCTTACCACTACACCAGGGAGACTGAAACGTTTCCTGTTTTATCGTTTCTATGCGTACCGTATATGTTCTCTGTACAGTGGGGCCTCGACTTACGATGGTAATCCGTTCCCAGAGACAGATCGTAAGTCGAAGTGATTTTCCCCATAAGAAATAAAGGGAATTAAATTAATCCGTTTGCCACCCTCCAAAATATTAACTTACAAATACATTTTATACTGAATACAATTTTGTTCTCCAACTACAATACAGTACATATGTTAATCTTACTTTTATGGAGACTCTTGATGGGGCATGGAAGATGGTGATGAGAGGGGGAGGAGGAGAGGTGTTACTGTTTGGAAGGGGAGTCCCCTTCCATTATAACATCAGGCAGTGATGACTTTTCTGGGATACACTCTCTGGCATGTTTTGCCTGCATACCACTAGGACCTGCTTGTGGCTCACTGCTTGCTTGTCTTACTAAGAATCTGTCTAAAAACACTTACATTTCCCTACATTTTAACACTTGTCTGTAGTAAGACATCACATTGTCATTTAAAAGGTTAATGCAATGGCCTGGTACAGCGTTTTCTGGGCGAGTTTTTTCAACAAAACTTTGCAGTCCTTCCCATACTTCACACATTTTCTTAATGAGGAAGGGACATCCTCTACTGCCTCAACTCACAACAATTTTTTTAAGTTGAACCTTACCACTGACTTTCTTGGGACCCATGGCATGATATATAATAATCAGTTTTATGTTCAAAAAGCAAAAAATCACCACAAAAACGGAATTTCCTATAAGCATGATCGTCACTAAGCGGGCAACTCTAGTAAACTGAGGCAGGCTGGCCCGCGTGACTGGGAACCACGCACTCAGTCGACCCAAACGTGTACCAACAAATATCGTTAGTCCACGACACTATCATAAGTCGAGTCGCATTTTTCCATCAAATTTACATCGTAACTCGAAATTATCGTAAGTCGGGGCAATCGTAAGTCGAGGTGCCACTGTATTTCCTCTAAATTTGGAGATCTCTCCCGCTCTGAAAGGGGAAGCGAATACCCAGCAATACTCATGACGGGACAGCACCAGTGATTTAAAAAGTATTAGCATTTCTGTGGGGTCTCTGGATTTGAACGTTCTCATTATTCATTCTATCATTTTCCTGGCCGCTGCTACATTTGCTAGTATGTTCACTAAATGTCAGGTCGTTAGACATCATAATCCCCAGATATTTTACATGTTCCTTTCCTTCTATGATTGTGTCTAATTGTATCCTGTACCCTCCTGTGTTTCATTTAACGGCCTCGTTTCCACCATACAGTACCTAAGAACTGTACCTGGAACTTGTCACCGTTAAACATCATGTTACTTTCAGTTGCCCAATCGAAGACCTTATTAATATCTGCCTGCAGTTTTTCAGGGTCTTCTACAGAGGAAATTTTCATGTTGATTTTGTAATCATCTGCAAAGGATGACACGAAGCTGTAACCAGTATTTTTTTGTAAATATCCGAGATAAGAATGAGAAATAGCAGTGGTGCACGGACTGTGCCCTGGCGTACAGAGCTTTTCACTGCACTTGGGCTTTATCTTATTTGATTGACCATCACTCTCTGCATTCTGTTTGACAGAAAGTGAAAATCCAATGCCCCACTTTACCCATTATTCCTATTGATCTCACTTTATGGGCTATCATCCGATGGTCACATTTGTCGAATGCCTTTGTAAATTGTGTATACAACATCTGCATTTTGCTTTTCTTCTAAGGCTTCTGTCAGAACGTTGGACACTCCCTGAATATGAACGGTGTGGAGAGCTAAACCCCGAGAACTCAGCAGAAGAGCTACCCGAAGCGACCAGCTCAAAAGAGCCACGGACCACAGAGGTTGGACCCCGTTTGAGACAATGAATCACAGGGGGAGCAGTCCAAATGGAGCCGGATCATAGAGCCTCGAGGAAGCTGAATCCACCGCAACACCAACCACACAGCCGCATACTCCAACACCGTGCTGTGAACTTGACAGAAGGGCGGAGCCTAACGACCCTGACCGGCCTGGTGAGCACTGATCGCAAAGCCTCAGCCAAGAGACAAGGAGTCCATGAACACATCGAGTGCTGGAAGGGGAAGGTGCCATGGCACCGAACCCCGAAAAACCCAAAGAAACCGGTGACTCAGCAACCGACAAAGACACCGTGGTGCGAACCCAACGTTCGCAATAGAGGGCTGCCCGAAGATACCAGAACAGCCTCCAAAGTTACATCCAGCACAACCCCCAGCACAACTGCTCGAGCAACTTTTGAGTGATCCAGGTCCCCCTCAAAAACAGCTGAAGGCGGGACTGCAACCTGAGTAATGCTGCAGGAGGGAGAGAGACGGATGCAGTCCGCGAATCCCACACAAGGGCTACTCATGTCCGAATCAGAGACGGAACCAACTGGGACATCCGCCAATTCACCAGGAACCCAAACCTCGCAAGCTGGGAAAGAACCAGATCCTTGGCTAGCAGACATACAGCCTGGCTGGGAGCCCACACCAACCAGCCATCAAAGGAGGCTGACAGCCAAGAAGGCACCAAGACCTAAAAACACACCCTATCTGGGTAAGAAGACCCGAACTCAATTCAGAACCAACACAGACGAAACTGGGTCTCACCGAAGGCACATGTCAAGGTCCTCCCCCCCCCCCTTTCATCACTGGTAGTAGTGCAAGGTACTACACAGCTTGTTTTCACCATAATACAGCAGCCAGCTCTGTTCTGCCTGGTGACATACTCTGGGGAATTTTAGTTTTTTTTTGTTTCTGCCTGGTGGAGGGTCTGCCCTGTGATGGTGTTGACCCTTTTTCATTCTGTATTCTTGGTGG